CATCATCTGAGTTTCGGAAGGTCATCAGTGACGTGGAGAAAACGGCACAGCCTGTGCGCAGATTTCCGGTGAGCGAAAAAGTGTTGGTAAACGCGTCGCAGGGCTCCGAGTCTTCCGTGTCATTGAAAACCGATCTCGGCCAAGAGGCGATTTCGTCTGACACTGGTGGCGGCTGTAGCGACAGCACCGAGCATGTGTGTATACGAGACGAAATTCCAGTTCAGGTTGCTGTACAGGAAGCAGTCGCCAGTTCACAGTCGTCTTTGGTCGGCTCAGCTATGAGCACCCGTTCCGGACGAGAGTTGACAACGACTGCAGCCACTGGAAAGGACATCACAAGCAAGAAAGTGTCGCAGCCTGATGAATCTGAACTCGAGCAGAGGGCGAAGCGTTTCAGAATGGAGTCAGCAGAACCACCGATCGGAAGCAAGAGAGCCGATACGACGAAATCCTCCGTCATTTCCACCTCCTCACCGTCGCATGCCAGAACTCAACTTATCTCCGATGGCCGAGTTGTTGACGACTCGGGATCGGCCGCCGTGCTGCGGAAGGTTCTGTCTGACATGCCGGAATCGGGTATGTTGGTTATTTTTTCTTTTTAAACCAAAAATGTGCAACCCTCGCTTCTGTGCTTTAAGCTTCGAAACGAAGAAGAGCAGACGACAAGGTTTTCAGCTGTTTGTAGTAAAATGTTGGGTAACCTTTGTAATAGAGCTCGAAATCAACAACAACATCGAATCATTCTGCTGCTGTGCATACTTCATACCGCCGCGACGGGACAAGTCGTGAAGGGAGTCGTGAAAGTCGAGAACGCGATCGCGAAAAGGACCGGGACAAAGTCGACATCGCTCATACCAGGGAATGCATCGACAGACACGACCGAAAATCTGAGGTTTAAAATTGGTGATTTTTGCATTTTCCAAGTTTGGTGATGACTGAGCGAAACTCAGTTTCAAAAGAAAACGTTCCGAAAGTGATTTTGAGAATGACAGATCGAACTGGCTGTGCTTAACAAATTAACAACATTTGTTTGACGCCAAACCATTATGATTCTTATTTTTTTTCTGTTGGGGCTTTTACTTTTTGGATTACCCCATCTGATGATTATTACTCTGAACAGTCTTCAGTCAGATGGGTCAAGAAAGAGTGCAGCCAAAAGATACGCTCACATCGGACAGCATGGCTGTACGTTTCCCCTATTCAACGGTGATCATGCCAGAATACTGTGCTCTGCTTTGTT